GTCCACCATAGACTTTGCATGTAAACCTGATGCTCCTGATGCTGAAATCGCGTTTGGTGTGAACGCAGCATAATACTTTATTTACATTTGTTCACAGCTAAAAAGATGAGAACTGTGTTGATGTCACAGTGTTTATGAACCTGGTTGGGGGACATTCAAAAAGGAGCCTTTGTCTTTTTGGAATGGCGCAACATTTCTCCTGTTTATGATCACGACATTATTTAAAATTAAGTTTTCAAAATAGTGTTCTGTTTGAAAAAAAAAGCATGTACTTTATACATATATATATATATAACTGTCTGATGACACATTTGACCTTGACATATATCTGAGTCTTTTTGCTGTGAGTTACCTTTGTCTCTGAACGGATGTGTTAACCGTTTACTGACTCTGCTGCAGACTCTCTGCTCCTCTTCTCCCTCCTGCAGTGCTTGTGACTCCCTCCCTCCATCACACTGGGAGCCTGAGGAGTAATAAWGACACAAGGAGCAAAAGAATAAAYTGCAACCGTCCTATGATGTTGTTTAATCCTCTTCCACCCAAYGTCTCATAGTTACCATGAAGAGCAGATTGCACAGTGTTCTCCTCCTCGTCTTGGATATGGAGTCTGGGAACAGCCTGCTGTGTGGTTCTGTTCTGCTGCTCCTGAGTGGCCGTCATCCCCCCTCGCTCTGCTCCTGCTCCATCCCCACCGGGCTCGGCCACCACCTGGTTCTGGTTCTTACCGGGAGGACGGGGTATCCTGTCAGCCGAGTCCGAATCACTGTCCGAGCCGCCCCAGAACCAGGGGTTGTGTGTGTGCTCCAGGAGCCTGCGGGTCAGCCTGTACGCCAGCATCTCCTCGTAACATTTGCTGTAGGTCTCCCATTTAGGGTCTTTGAATTTCTTCATGTACTCTGAGCGGATCCTTTTTGTCACCATCTTCTCGCTCTTCAAACTGAAAATGAGCACGAAAAAAAGTCTAGCAACAGATCTAATAAGTGGAATTACAAGGCGAAGCACAGTGACAAGAACAGTGTCTTTCCTAACGTCACCGCCAGACATTTAAACCTTACCACGCAAACATTTCAAACCAATAGCAGGACAGGAGGCTTCTCAGAGCCCGCCCACCCCCTGACGGAGGCGTCGGGAAAGAAATAAAAACAAAAAGTCTGGTTTGATATGAACTCAGCGACTAAGAGATGCTGCTGTCTGAGCTTTGCTGCGATTTTCACCTGAAAATTAACCCCAGGAGAAAATCCGATCAGATCAACCGTTACTACGCTGGTAGCAGAAACTTCCTGGACGGAGTGACGTCACGATCACCTCCTCCTCTGATTGGCTCCCACGGCCTCGAAGGTTGAACACTCCGAATCAAAACTCACTCGAAATCACTACCAAAGCCGTCAAACACACCCACATCTAAACGTCATTAAAACACTGTCCTGACGCTTATATTTGGTATTTATTATTAAAATATAAACATCAGTGCAGAGTTAAGGACGCCGTGTACAATGTTAGCTCATTAAAATTAGCCACACGTCGTTCTGCGTAGGCGATGTCACGAAAAAATATGGTTGTTTTAACTTCGTCGGAATATTCATGCCACGGGAGGTAAATATGGAGCACCGATGATATAATCGCCTGTCACCCCGCTCGAAGACGCAGCTCGGGGGGTGGGGCAGGCATTAAATCTCCCCGCGGCCAGGAGTCGACTATGAACGGCTTTGATGGGAGAGATTCGTGCCTCTGTCCTGGTCTAATTTAGTGTACGGTAAATATACTTACACCAGCTCGGATTTCACGGGGAACAAGTGCAGGCAGGAGGGCGGACAGATGGCACCAACAAACAGCCTGCGTGACGTGCCCGCTGTGCGTAGCTCCGCCCACCCGAGGACGTTAAACCAAACACACCCCCGCAACAGGTGGTCCTGAGCGAGAATGCGCTCACTGAGGCTTCTTGTTATGATTCTATCACATTGTTAAATCGCAGGGGGAAATGTACATAT